TACGCCTTTGAGCCTGGCAGCTCCCAGATGATGGTGGCTCCTAGCTTCAGGAGCACTTCTCTGTTGTTTGGAGCCCCATCAGCTGACAGGGCTCCCAGCTGCGGGGGCATGCCTTGCAGTTCCAAGGCTGGGAAGACTGCAGCTGACATGGTGTGCCAGCTGGGGGTCCTAGATCATGAAGCAACCCTTTCCCCACCCCCCCAGCTGGGACACCATGTCAGGTGTGACCTCCCTGCTGTGGGGACACCTGGGGTGCCCCTGTGGCTGGGAGCTGAGAGGGCTCCCAGCTGTAGGAGTTTGCTTCTTGCTGATGCAGGGGGATGTGGGGATTTGGGCTCCCCCTGCACTGGCAATAAGGTATGATGGGATCTGATTTACAGTCCCCCATTCATGCCTCCTGCCATGCATGTGTAGAGGGGCCCTAAGAATGCCAAGTGATTTAGCAGACTGTCACAATTTTTCTCAGGATCACAAACAAGAGGAGAAAAAATAAACCTTATTATGTAGCTTGAGGGGGTTTTCTCCATCTTAATATTAAAGGTCTGTTGCAAAAAGCTGCGTGACAGCTTTTCAAAAGAAAGGCCATATGCATTCTTTATAAGTCATTGTTAATTTTTCCATTAAGAATACATCTTAATGAAAATTTATTTTCTTGAAGTAAAATGTATGGGATGATTGAGGGTCTCAGTGTCATGGGGTCATTGTGCATATAATACTCAGAACTCCTGTAGATAATTTAAAAATATATATTTATTCCTAAGACAGAAAAGTTGCTAAACAGGTATTAGAGCTGTTTGTGTATATACTGTGGTATACGGTAGAAGAAAAAGGTAGAAAAACAGGAAGGTCACGTTTAGGTTAAATGTACAGAAACCACATTTGAAAGAACTTTTTTTGGCCCTTTGTTTTAGGGAGCCAGGAAGGAAAGATGTGTGGGCTTCAGGCTTAGTTTCCAGCAGATCTGATGTGTAGGTCTTGCCCCATGTATTTTTCAGTATATAGTTATTCTACTTTCAAAGTAAAGATTAGGAAATAACTTTGTGAGAGGAATTTCAGAGTTTTTCTCTCTCAAGGTTATGAGAGGAAGAACAGTTGGCTAGCTCCTAGCCTACATATTCACTGTTTAAGGGCAATCCTGTTTCACTGTGTTTGAGTCTCTGAAAAAATGCTAATGTGAAGTTGAAGACGTGTATTCTTCCTCCATGCTGTTGTTTGTGGATCAGTCATAAAACTATGAAGACTAATTCTATAAGTAGATGCACTATTTTTCCAGAAACTATAACAGAATGGATAGGATTGTACTGAGATGCTGTGACACCTACATGTGATTAGAAGCTAGTAATAATGGAATAAAATCTAGCTCACTGTGTCTCTGAAAGGGGGAACACAGCTCATGAATGTGACTTGCATTAATGGCAGAGTTGGCATGATTTAAAAAAATATATATTTCCGAAAAGTCCATACAACAAATCTGTGCTTCTAGGAGAGCTGGCAAAGTATGCCACTGATTTAGAAAGAAATTGGAGGGAGGTAGAAAGGAGAGATATCAAAGGTTAGTATGAGTCCTCTTAATTTGTATTTTTTCATGAGTCTGGTATCTCACGAGTAACTTTGCACAAAATTTTATCTGGTTACATGTGCAAAATCTGAACTAAAAATGAGTTTTGTAGTGAATGTATTTTATAATCTTTTGTAGTTCTGATTGTTATGGTATCTTACAGATAGGATACTTACTTCCAGAATTTTTTTTTTCCTCTTCATGGGAGAACCTTACAAACCTTAATTTTAACGTGGCTGACATCTCACCAGTGGTATTGATTTGCAGACAAGACAGTTCAGCACTATGAATTATAAAATGGGCTTCTGGCAAGAAAACAGTGATGTTCCTGAGTGAGATGAACTATCCTCAGTAGAGTACACAAAATACCCTTCAACTATGGTTTAAAACTTCCTTTAAATGAAATTATTACTTAGAGTAAGTTTACTGTTAAATGCTGTTTAGATGGCCAAAAAGAAAGCCTGATTTAATAAGCTTAAGTTTGTAAGGATTTTAGATATAGCAAGGAGTTGTTTAAATTCTTGGAGAAACTTTAATTTAATGTAGTTCACTTTTAAATTTTTAAAATTTTGTTTGGTTTTTAAACTGCTAATCCTTTTTAAAAATTGTATATACTGCAACATCATTAAGAACATACATCTAAGTAGCTTGGGATTCTTTTTAAACAAAATAGAAACCCAAAATCTTTAGTCACTACTTGCAAGTAAAGTATATGGACAAACAAACGTGGCATGGATTTAAAAGGGGAGTGGGAGCTGGCTGTTCAGAACTGCTTAGCTATTGTTCTGCTCTAGGAGTTTTCTGTACAAGAGCCTGTAGTGATAGAAGTGTAGCAGAATTGCTCCAACTTTAACAATGCTTCAATCAGGGGCAAAGTTGGTGGCCGTTTTTGCTCACTTGCATGCTACGGGATCATGAACACAACACTGTTACAGCATTAACAGTTGCTTCATGCTCCAAAGCAGCAGCTTTCCCTTCCCTTTTGAAGGTGTTTCAGATGTATGTTTGTCCATAGCCAAAGTAAGGTTATTTCAGGTTTGTCCATGGTCCTCCCAGTGGCACCTTAATTATGCAGGTGGGGTGTTGAAAAGAGATTAATGGTAACCATAGGAATTTTGCAAGATTTAGGGAAATTGTTACAAACATTTTCACCCTCTCATACATCAAGTCTGTTAATCAGTTCTTTAATATGTTACTGTCTTGGGATGGTCTAGAATACTATACATCTCTTCTCCTCCAACCTTCTGAATAAAACACTTCTTGGGGAAGGCAGAATAAAGAAGCAAAGACTTTTCCAGAATCATAGGTGAATGATGGCTGCATAGAATAGGGGCATAGTCCATTTGCCAGTGTCACTCACCCTCCCCTTGCACAGTGAAATGCTAGAGGTTTAACTCTTTTACAGCTGCTGCTCATTTGACAGTCAAAGCTGCTGCTAGTTCAGCTGAGGGTGTGAGAGAGCAGTCCCCTCTAGACAATGCAGGTACAGGTGTGATACGATCTGATGCATGATCCAAACAATTTTGCCTCCTGCCATGTCTCATGTACATGGCAGGAAGTGTGACTGAGATTGCAAATTAGATCCTATCACACCTTACTGCTGGTGCAGGGGGAGCCCATGATCACCATCCCAGGCACTCCCTGCACTGGCATGTAGCAATCTCCCATGGCTGGGGACTCCTTCAGCTGACCGTCTCCCAGACATGGGGTGCCTTTGGGTCACATGGGCCCTCTTGCTGGGAGCTCCAGTCTGCTGATGGGGCTCCCAGCCACAGGGTCCCCTGGCTACGTGTTCAATTAACAGTATGATAATAAGGAGCCACAAAGTGGAATAACTTTGTAGATTATTTCTTCTTTATCACACCATTAATTGATTGAATCTGTGGCTGGTTGACTACTGAAGGCACAATTAACTGGTTAATCACATCTTAACTGTAACTTGTATATGGGGCCTCACTTATGCCTCTAGTTTTGGCTGTGCAGCTAGGGGAGGGTGAGTGAACTCTACCACTGCTCCATGTGGCCTGGGGGTGGAGAGACAGACCCAGCAGCCATTCTAGCCTTCCCAGTCCTCCATTCCAGCATGGAAATCAGTCTCCTTGTTTAAGACGCACCACCCAATTTTAGATGGCTAATTTCTTTGGGAAAGGTCTATGTGGTATGAGAGTAAATAGAGTATATTATTACTCTATATTATGAGAGTAATCAAGTGTATTACTCTATTTACGGCAAGCAAATAAATGTAATAGGAGGTTACCAAGGGTAGAATTACCTGTGGCAAATTAACGTTTTCTTTGCTTGATGAGAGTACTAAATTTTTTTTAAATCAGTTGTGGTAGATCTCATCTGTCTCAGCTTCACCAAAGTTTTTGATATGTCATACAGAGCATAAGATGATGGTAATTAGTAAAGAAAATGAAAGGTGGGTGGGGAATGAGCTGAAGGAGAAACAATAATGGATCGTGTTGTTTTGTAGAGGCATCAGGCTGGAGGGAAGTTATTAGTATAGAGTTCCAAAAAAATCTGTCTTTAGGCTAGTATTTGATTCGTCATTCATTTTGGCTCAAAAAATAGTGTGTTGATGAAATACCATATTTTCTCACATATAACCCATGCCTTTCTCGCAAAACTAGCTAATGAAAATTGGAGTACACATTGTATGTGAGAAAAAGGGATTGGCACAGGTCTGGAAACCTGCTGTGAGGGAGTGCTATATCTCTTTACCCTTCCTGAAATTCAACATCATTGATTTAATGAACAAGGGATGGATCACTCTAGATATAACCAGTCACTGCTCTTCCTCCAAAGTATTCACTTTTGTTGGAGACAGGACACTGGACTGGATGGACCATTGGCCTGACTTAGCATGGCACTTCTTATATGCTTATGGAGTGCTGTGTACAATTTTGGCCACCATTTGTTGAAGAAAGATGAATTCAGACAGGATCAGGCAAAGGAAAGGGCAGCTATTAGGATATTTGGGAATGGCTAGCTTATAACCAGAAGAGAGTTTTGCATGTTTAGTTTAGCAAAATGAAAGTTCAGTGAGAATGATTGCACTTTATAAATGCATCAGAGATGACAAGAAGTAGGAAGGGGAAAGAACTATTTAAGGACAAAGTTGGCACAAGAACAAATGAGTATAAACTATCCATGAATAAATTTAAGATGGAATTTAGAAGAATGCTCTTAATCAGCTAAGTAGTGAGGTGGTGGAGCAGCCTTACAATGTGAGTAGTGGGAGGAAAAACACTGCTGCTTTTAAAATAGAACTTGCTATCTTTGTGGAAAATGTTTTGTATGATTTAGTTGCCTGTTCTTAAGTGAATAAGCAGAACTTTTCAAGGCTTTAGGGTCCTCTTTGGCATAATTTAGGATATCATTGCTATCTTGTCAAGTGATAATTATTCTGTATTCTAAAATTATTTCTTTTCCCTCCAAGGGCTTGGATGATTTTAGATCAATACAGAAAGAAGTCAAAGCTTTTTCGTACTAAAGTTCTCTTGGCTCCGTTAGGGGATGATTTTCGCTACACAGAGAGCTCAGAATGGGATCAGCAGTACCAGAATTATCAGAAGATTTTTGATTATATGAATTCTCATCCTGATTTACATGTTAAGGTAAAAAGCAATGATTTTTTTTTTTCAAATGATATGTTGAAATGTATGATATATTGAAAGTAAGACTTTCTTACAAACTATTCCCAGACACCATTAGCACTAACTTTAGTTGCTCCTTTTTTACATGATGACAAATTTTGATGGACTGAGATTTTGTTTTTGTATCACAGAGAAAGATAGCTAAATACTCCTGTTGTTCAGTTGAAAGACTTGATGAATAAGAAAGGTACTACTGATTTTTGTTGTTGCTGTTGTCATTTGACGACATAGTTTTTATTTTATTTTACATCGAGTTAAGTATAGGTGAGGGCTGGTTCCCCTAATGCCCCTTCCCTTAAGGCTTTACATTTTTCTATACCTAGCAAGAAATAATAATAAGAGTCGATGTAGTTTACTTGAAAAATAGTCTTTAATTTTTCTGAGGCTCCTTTAATACTGTTATTGGTGTGGAAGGTTTATAGTTCTTATCTCCTGTCATCTTCTGATGTACAGCCTTCCATTTCTCTCATTAAGCTGCTTTTGAGCACTAATTGCCTTATTTAACACGTCTCAAACTGCCTTCCCCCATACTAAGTGCATTATCATAAAGCTATGTAACACAAAATATCTTGGATGCAATCAATTTAAAATTTTGGTATGCTTTCCTTTATTAGTTCATTGAATGTCTTTATAGTTTGTCAAATAAAGGTGCGTATAGTTTAACATGGTGAAGACGATTTATATATTTAAAAGACTTTAGGTTCTTTTTGCTTTCCTTCAGCCATTAATAATTTTGATTTTTTTTTTATTCTCACAGATAAGTGAGAAGAACAAAATCTAAATGTGTAATTCACTTTCTATAAGCAGTCATTTCCTTACAAAGAGTAAATATGCTAGCACTATACTCAGGTGAGAGCACATGCTCAGATAAACATTAATTCATTCATGCTAACATTTCTTCCTGAGTGAGCACCATAATAATCATATTGAACTAGGTGTCACTGGTACATTCATATTCAGCAGAAAGAAGTCTTGTGGACTTTTTTCTATTTTGAATATTTACTCATTTATGCGTTAAGGCTTGATCTGTTTGCATGCTGAATTCAGTAACAGTTCCCTGCTGCTTTCAGAGCTGCAGAATCAAGCATATGCTGGGTTCTTGGAATTAACAATGAATTTTGAAATAATATTTTAGTTTTAAGATTGTTAACATGGTTATAAAGTTATGCTATCTGGTAAATGAGAAAGGAAACTATCTAACTTAGATACAGCTTAGATATTAGAACTTCTTTTAGGATTGTATTTTTTTAAATAATAATACATTTCAATTGACAAATAACTTTTAAGGTCTTGAAAAAGTTTTATTTGTTACTGGGTGTGTCAACACAAAACACTTTACTGTGCAGTAGACTAATCTGCGCAGTAAAGTGTCATCATCTACATGTGTGCACATTTACTGTACAGCAAATTAGTCTACTGTGCAGTTAGCTACTACCTGTAAATACAGGTAGTAAATACTGTGCAGTAGTGCATGTGTAGACACTGACCTGAAACCAATTTTGTCCCAGTTAGCCCCAACGCTAGGGCGTCACAGGGGATGGAGAACTCCCCAAGTTCTGGCACTACTCAGCTCCTGGCTCCCCACAAAAGCTGGGAGCCAATCAGTGCTGGGACTGGGTAGCTTTCTGTGTTCCCCCCTATCTTGGTGCTGCTCAACTCCTGGCTCCCTACAGGAGCTGGCAAGCTGAGCAGTGCTGAGACGAGGGAGCTAGTTGAGAACTGTCCTGTTTCTGGGGTGGGTCCCTGCCAACTCTAGGCTGCATGAGGATTTCCCCGAGCAGCCCATGGCTGGCCAAGAACTGTCCCGTCTTTCCCCACTTCCAGAGATGGGTTCTTGGCAACCTCTAGGACATGTCTCTGGAAGCAGGGAACATGTTGCCTGTTGTTCCTAAGTTCAGTGGACTGGACAGCACGTGATGTGTTTTGCCCAATGGAACATCTATTTCTAGCCTCAGCTGATTTGTGGGGGAAAAGGGAGTGGGAAGGGAATAGCTTATGTCTCTGTGTTCTCACAAACTCTCTCCACGTACATCCACAATGATTTTCTTGCTACATGATTATGAGATCTGATATAGCATAGTCTCCTTTCCTCACCCAAGCTCCCCTATCCTTTCATCGGGGAGATTCCATGACTTGCTTTTGAATTATGCTGTAAAAGGGGAAAACCCTTTTATATTGTTTATATGGACATAGTTTTGAAATGGAATCAAGTAAACTTCTTTGTTTTCCTATATAAAGAGCATGAGAAAATGAACTACTTAGTGTGAAATAAAAGGGAGCAAGGATTTACTGCATTAGAGGCCTGTCTCATGGTACCTCCCTGTATGTGTAGTCTTATTCTGTGGTTTACTAGTGGTTTTCACTTCCCACGTGGTTTACTAGTAGTTTTCACTTCCCACGTGGTGAGAGCGTGCATATAGACAGCTACCAGGGAACAGCTGACTTAAGGTAGGTTTTCACTTTGAAAACAGACATGTTTTCATTTTTATTGTTGGATTTGATTATTTTGATATATCAAAGACTTTATGTTGTGACATAATAAAATTAATGCATGTGAAAATAAAGAATTGAGGAAGAACTGCATTGTTATTTCATTAGAAGAGGGAAAATTTATAAAGTTTTCCAGATACCTTCAGAAAATGGATTACTAATGTCCAAAAGAAGTTAGAGAAAAGGGCAGTGTTTAGGACATTTTTCCCACAGTTGAAACCAAAGTTTGCTTAGGCCTTTGTTACTTGCTCTAAAGAGAGAAAGGTAAAGCTTACTAGTTTGTTTTTTTTTAAACCTGTTAGGATTTAAACTACGGGTACTTTACAGGAGTGTCTTTATATTTGGCAACAAAACAGCTTGCATCTTGTGTGTTAGAAAATTATTTTTGATGAGTTAAATGTCAGTCAAGACGTCAGGGGAAATTTTATGTACTTTAAAATAGACCAATAATTCTATTATGATCTGGCTTGCAGAAAGCATGCTTTGAAAGTACCTGTTAAATCCAACATGTCCTTATCCTTTAGCACTGCATTAATAAACCGAGGAAATGGAAATCTGTTAGTCACATAAGTTTTTCTGATTTTGTTTCAGGCCCAATTTGGAACTTTATCAGATTATTTTGAGGCTTTGCGTAAAGCAGGTAATTTGGATGAGAAGAGCAGCAATTCAGTTTTTCCGGTTTTGAGTGGGGACTTCTTCACATATGCAGACAGAGATTATCATTACTGGAGCGGCTACTTTACATCGCGACCCTTCTACAAACGACTAGATCGAGTTCTGGAATCCTACTTAAGGTAAGTGTAAGCATCTAGTTCTGCTTTGCTTTAAAAATTGCTAACTTAGAAAATATATTTTAAGATAAACTCTGAAGTTTATTTTTATTATACTATGGTTGAGATTCATGTATTGCAGTAGGAAAAACATAACTGGTCTCCAAAATTTTTGGATATTAGCATGACAATTTACTCTGCTTGCTTCAGAATGGGTTTAAAATACTGTTGAAAGTAACTGGTCACTTGGGATACCAGCCAGTGTGTGCATGTGACCCTTGTTGGACTGCTGTTACCATTTTTTGGTCACTGTTGGTTTGAGTTTGTTTTTGCAAGGAGGAAGTGGGCACAGAAAAAAGGATAAATGAAAACTGGAGGAGCAGAAGTAGGCAAGAGAGAGGAAATCCATTCGATGATGAATAGGAGAAAGAACTATGAGGGTTGAGGCACATGGGGATTGAGGACAGGTAAAGAATGGAGTAGCTAGGAAAAAGAAAAAACTTGGGAAAACAAAGCAGTAGGAAAGTGAGGAAGACTTTACTCAGACAATACTAAAGAAGGGAATAAGAGAGAAAAGCTCTGTGGGAGGGGGGAGGGTCATGGCCCTGAAAGAGAGATTTTTAAGGAAGTTGAGAGAAGTGGTGGAAGAGAGGGCAAGTAAAAAGAGGAGCTGAGGGAAAAGAGGACAGAAATACATTATAGAAAGGGTAGTGTGGGAGGAGGGGTAATTTTGTGTTAAAACACCATATACATAATAAACTTCCTTGTTCATTTTAAAAAGTGCTTCATATGCTTTTATTTTTAAAATGGTTTTATGCTCGTTTTGCACCATACTATTATTGCTTTTGGTTCTGTTTCTATTACCTGACTCTGCTACTCTTATTTTGCTGTGGGTGAATCTTTTACAGACAGTGGTTTTTAGGACAGTCTTTTTTACTGTTAATGTTCTCAGCACATGCTAATGAAATGGGCAAAGCTACAAGAAAAGGACTGAGATTACATATAGGTAACATTTTATCCAGAGCAGCCTTGCAGCATGAAAGTGTGGCTGCTGAGCAAGGTGGTTATACCTCATTCTTTAGAGGTAGGGGTTATTTTTTCCATACAAAGCTGGATGAGTGGCTTTTCTGATGCAAGTCCCAACTGGGAGGTAGTTCAAGGTCCATTTTGGAGCTCCCTGTGTACTTTGTTTTTCTCGGATCAAATCCATATAATTATACGACTAAGGTTCCCTCTCCACGTTACAGGTATTGCACAGTTAACTGGTTAATTATGCTATTATGTTAAGAGCAGGTACATGTGTAAAGTAGATGTTACACCATAAAACATTACAACCAGCTGTAAAGTTAAACCTCAAAATTATGAACTAACAAAAATGCTGGTTGTTATTAAGCTTTAATTTGCATGTGGAGTAGGGTCTCCCATGCAGCTGAGAGTGATATCAGCTCATGGGGTTGCCAGGCACAGGAGTGCACCATTCCCAGCATGAAACCCCTGGGCCTGGGGGATAGTGGCAGCTGTGATTTCCCCCATCCTCAAGCCTGGGACATCATGGCTGCCACGGTCCTCCAGCTCTGGGGTTGCGTAGGGTGCCCCTATGGGCTGCGAGTGCTTGCTTCTCATCATTGCAGGTGAAGCCTAGGATTGGGTTCCAGCTGCACTGACATTAAGGCAGTCTGGGATCCAACGCACAATCATGCATTCTGCCATGTGCATGTGGTATGGCAGGAGGCACGCTTGTGGATTGCATGTTAGATCCCATTGTGCCTGTTGTACATGTAGAGGGGGGCACACTGTAACAAACATAATCTGATTGGCTCATTTTGATTCTCTTTGTCTGTCTGGGAACCAGCATAAACCAGTTCTTTGGTGATCTTGGAAGTTGTCAATTAAGCAAAATTTATGTCTTTGTGAAAATGAAAAGAGCATTTCTTATTTTTTTCCTACTGTGTCTGGAATGTCTCCTTATCACTTTTCTTCTTTCCTTCCCTTCATGGTCACGCTAACAAAGCTACCTTCTGCTGTATAGTTATCTCTAAAGCTTCTAAAACTTTGGTTAAAAATATTTAGCATAAGCACATAGCTGCAGTAGGGCAACACAGAACCAATGCATACTTTCATACTTCACTAATCATTATGAATACACCTGAGGCTACAGGATGCATATATGTACTTTATATCCAATGTTGGTTGTTTGTCGATAATCTATTAACAAATACTAAATTGAAATTTTTTTGGAAGTTTGTTTTCTGTTATGTCTTCGTTGTTTAACATAAGTTGTGGATTTATCCAGCTGAGCAAATTGTAATGTTAATTACTTTAAAACACTGATGAACATTTCATGTGTAACACCTGCTAAGTTCAAATTGTACTCATTCAAAATGAATTTTGCACCTTCTGCCTTAGGCATGCTCTTGCAGCTTTGTTTAGGTCCTTAAATGTGGCCAGGGCTGGCAACACAGAGCAATAAGCTATTGGAACAGCTTACCTAGAGATATGATACGCTGGAGGGTAGGTCTAGGATTCAGAGTGACCTAGAAAAATTGGAGGTTTGGGTCAAAAAGAATCTCATGAGGTTCGACAAGGACAAGTGCAAAGTCCTGGACTTAAGATGGAATAATCCCATGCACCAGGACTGGCTGGGGGCTGACTGGCTGGGCAGCAGCTCTGCAGAAAAGGAGCTGGGGGTTACTGTGGACAGTAAGCTGAAGATGAGCCATCAGTGCACCCCTGTTGCCAAGAAGGCTAATGGCATACTGGGCTGAATTGGTAGGTGTGCTGTCAGTAGGTCAAGTGAAGTGATTCTTTTCCTCTATTCAGCAGTGGTGAAGCTGCATCTGGAGTACTGTGTTCAGTTTTGGACCCCCCAGTACAAGAAGGATGTGGACAAATTGGAGAGAGGGCAACAAAAATGGTGAGGGGGTGGGGAACATGACTTGTGAGGAAAGACTGAGGGAACTGAACTTCATTAATCTAGAAAAGAAAAGACTGAGAGGGGACTTCATAGCAGCTTTCAACTATCTGAAGTAGGGTTTGAAACAGGATGGATCTAGGCTGTTCTCAGTGGTGGCAGATGACCGAACAAGGGACAACGGTCTCAAATTGCAACAAGGGAAGTTTCTCACTGGGAGGGTAATAAAGCACTGGAACAAGTTATCCAGAGAGGTGGTGGAAGCTCTATCATTGGAGGCTTTCAAAACCCGGCTAGACAAAACTTTGGCTGGGATGATGTAGTTTGGGATGGTCCTGCCTGGAGCAGGGGTTGGACTAGATGACCTCCTAGGGTCCCCTCCGACCCTAACTTTCTATGATTCTATGATGGATCTGTTTATTACTTGGAGTCCTTAAATCCAACAGTAAATATCATTCAGAAAGGTGAAATAGAAGTTATAGATTAAACGCACCACTTGGTAGTTGAAGTTCTATGGCATGTGTTACACAGTTGGTCAAACTAGAAGGATCATAACGACCTCTATACAGTCTATAAAATGCATCCTTTTTTTGTCCTGTACCCTGTATTTGTACACTGACAAGCAGATGTCATTCATACTAGGTTTTTTGAAAGCAAGAAAATAAGATCCATGTTGGATCCCTTGTACTGAATATTTAGAAATATAGACAAAAATTTGTTAGGCTTATGAAATCACATTTAACTCTGTGACACCCCTGTTGGTACTGGTCAGAAAGCAATCTATAAAATTAACTGGAGATCAGATGGCATGCTTTTTTTGAAGGCCAGGCAGAAAGACTATAAGCCCTCAGTGTTATGACAGTTACACGATGATGATACAGAACTTCTAATCACAGATGAGAGAGTGTCATTGCCTGGACCAGGCATTCCTTTGGGAAAGGTCAGAGGCAGGGAAGACTAGTTAATCAAACACTGACATTTCATCTGTGGGATTGAGACACCTAAAGCATGTCTTACTAACATGCTCTTGGTGTGCCCTTTGGCTCAAATGATGACTAATGGGAGCATAAGGGTCCCTGTAAGGTACCTGTGTAGACAGCCTGGCTCATCAGTTTGATGTCTTGTCAGCATTATTGTGTTTCATTTCATAATCTCTTCATTTCTGCCATATTCGACTGAGCAAGGTGCTTCAGAACATGAGGTATCAGACAGGACACCATTGTCTTCCTGCCTAAACAAGTCTACTTCGCCAACTTCATTGAATCCCAACTGTGTGGGACTATGTGGGACTCATTCCTTCCCTCCTCCTCCTGCTGTCACTTTTCTCTCTAAGTTAGATTTCATCAATATTTGAGAGAAAATTGGCAAAATATGACATGACCTTCCCCTCTGTTCAGCCTGGTATCCTTTTGCTTTGTGGTTCTTTTTGCATTTGTCACAGACACAAGTTTCTCATCTGCTCTCATCCCCTATACTTTACT